GTAAAGAGCCCACCGACTCTGTAAAGAAGATTGGAAGAGACTGTCACTGGCAGGCAGGGAAATAAGACTGTAAGGAGCATAATTACTTAAGAATTCTTTTGTTCTGGGTCCCTCCCCGGAGGCACCCAGCTCGAGCTGTTACTTTGGCCTACCGTCATTTAATTAAATAATGAACTCTGCTGTTATATGTGCATGAGACTCTGCTCCTCAGAAACCTAGGCTCAAACTGTTTCCACAACAGAAGGAAGGATGTGTCAAGTGTTTTAAGTTATGCAATCCTCTCAGCTTATGACCTGCTCAGCTCTTAGAGCTAGCTCTTGTGGGAGGACAGAGTTAGGGATAATGATAACTGCTCGGGCTGAGACACTGCTTCTTTAAGCAGTTTAGAAATAAAAAAAAATCAATAAGAGTTTAAAAATTACAAAAACAGTAAAATCATTCTGGTTAAATTTCTGAATCAGCTTTGATTTCCATTGTTTATTTACTCACATAAAATCACAGTAAGTTTAACCTTTCTCCTTTTCTGATGACTGCCTAGCTTAACTACAACAAAGTCTGAGTCTGCAAGCTGAAATCAGTGGAACATTTCTAAAGCTTTAACATAAGCACACATTTAAAAGCCTGATCCAGTGCTCCCTGCTGATTTTAGTGGCCTCCAGATCATACACTCTGTGCTTTCCTTCACTATATCTTCCTCTCCTTCCTTTTGTTTGTGCCATCTACTTGTTATGTACTCATTTCCAACCTGACACAATAACATGAGTCACTCTGGGCTTCAGCCAAAACCCACTGAAAACAATTGATAGAGCTCACTGGGATTTGCCACCAATTTCAGCAGGCTTTGGGAAAATTTCTTTGTGCCCACAACCCACCTGAACATAGTGCAGACACCTAATCAGCATAGCCTGAGCTCCTGGGGTCAAACCGTCCACCTCCCTGAACCAGGGATTACATGAATAACGCTGCTGAAGTCAACAAGGTTTCCTCATGTGCAAAAAGTCATGGGCCACTCTTGCAGGACATGCAGGAGTGTTTGCAGGCTAGACCATTTGAGTGATACCTTTCAGGACAGGGCCAGGCTCTTATGTGTTTCTACAGAACTCAGCACAGGAGGGCCTCAATTAGGAAGGGGGCCAGTGGATGGCCTTAAATAAATCATAGTACAGGGGAATTTACAGTATGTTATCTTTCCAGCCCTCCACCACTTCTTCTCTTTACTTAGCTATGTTAGCCTCATGAATCTTCTTGTTTTCATTCTTTGGTTCTGACTATAATTTACAACACAAAGAAACTATAAAAACTCCTTAACCTTTTTTTTAAGGATTCTGTTATTTTAATTTTTTAATATTTAGCTGCAAAAAAAATGCAACAATGACAGTAGAGCTGGCCTAATTCCCATGGAAGTTAATTTTTTATGACTGTTTACTTAAGAGGGGCTAATGTAGGCTATAGTCACATTGGCCTCATGGATATGGCTGCTTATAGAGACTGTTCACAGGGAGCTGGTGCTTTCCTCCACTGAAACTCCTTGCTTCCGGAGGGAAAACAGGTCTATCCCTAGCCCTGAGGGAGGGAAACGGGCAGAAAATTTAAGAGCTTGATCCTTGACTTCAGTAGCTGCAGGTTCAGAAGTTACAGATTTCTTCACCCACTTCAAGTCTGTCATATCCTTGAGAGATGCACTGCTCTCTCTGCAGATAAATATCCTTGACCTGATATTCTGTTGGAGCCAGCTGTCAAGCCTATTTCAAGGAAAGTCTTTCTGACAGAAGTATGATCTTGGAGTGACACACACGTAACACAGGAACTTGTAAATCAAACTCTCTGCATGGATAGAAAGCATGGAGAGAAAGAGAGACAGTGGGAAGAATAACCATGATTACAGCAATCTTTAAAGTCAATGGAGGATATAAACTCTTTTGACTACTATAAGAATCCCAACCATGGATCTTAATGTATTTAAACAAGCCACTCCCTAGGTTAATTTCCTTTGAAGAAAAGAAAGGAAATGTTAATTCTGAAGACACACTATTTAACTGCTTTACCAAAAGCCAACTGTAACTTGTAAACCTTACAGAGAAAAAGCTAACAAGTACATTCATTTGCTTTTTATTCCTACTTTGTTATTTTCCATTTACATTTATTTTCTTAGGTGAGTTACTTGTTTTTAGATTAAAAGAACTAGCCTAAAGGTAACCTTTCTTTCCCAGTCGCAAACTGATTAGTAGATTCTTCAGAAAAAATAAGTATTACATCTCATTTACCTGCATTTACAGTTTTTAAGTCAGTAGAGAACCTGCATCTATTTTTGCATCTAACCCATTCTACTCTTCGAACTACAGCATGTATTTTCAAAGCTATCCATGACTAGTTTGGAAGGATTCAAGCAAGGGAGTATTACCACAAATAATTTGTAGCCTTGTAGCCATATCTGGAAATGGACTCCAGGTCCCTGTAAAGCCAGCCTGCTAAACCTGAAGATAAGTTTGAGACAAACACCAACTTCAGTGGCTAATCTCTGAAGTTTTTCAAGAGTTCTGCTTATCATAACTATATTTAGTCCATGTTTTGCCAGCTACAAGAGAGGAATATGAAAGTTGTTAGAGAAAACAATGAGGTGACAAGAATCTTTATAAATTTTCTCAGTTTTGCAATAAAAACAATTATGGATTTTTTTTTAATTACATTCGTTCACCCATCACCTGCCTAATGGGCAAACAACAAATGTTAAAACGAGGCCAAACATTAATCAGACTTCTTACAGTCTGCCTAAACATCTCCTTCACTATATAATCTTGGACCTTTACAAGAAAAATATACTGGACTGTTGTCCAAAACCCCCAAAATATGACCCAAAATAAATAATCTGAACCATTTTCAAATGAATGAATGTCCACAGGGAGTGAAGACAATGTGACATTTCCCATAAAATGAATCTTTATTTTTACTTGGAAAGGGAAGGCCAAATATGCTGATGACTTTTACAAGTCCTTTTACAAGACTGCCCTCCACCCTCTTTTTTTTCCCCTCTCTGAGAGGTAGATTAAACACATTGAACTGAAAGCTCAAAAGAGTTTGAAAGGATTTGGAGTTTACTCATGTGTTTTATAGAAATAAAATCTCATGCAGGTCAGATAGCTAAATTTTAAGTGTTTGTTTCATTAGATGCAAAGTAAAAAAAAAAGAAGGAAAAAAGATGAAGAAGTCCATGCATAAAAATTCAAAATACAGTTACACAAAGATACATCCACAAAGATGTTGGCAAGAGTTGCAGTTTACAACTGTGAACACTATTTAACACAACAGTCCATTTGTAGTCAGTTCGGTATTACCATGTGCAGAACAAACGCAGAACAAATAGAGAAGGGTATTAGTCTCCCTTTTTCCTTGGGCCTTCCATTCCCATCGGTTCAAGTTTTAGGCAGAGCTTGAGAGAGAAATATGCCCCTAACTTGTGAAACTAGGTTATTAACAAGCAGCAGCTGAACTGAGTTGTGCACACAAAGAAAAGAAAGATAGAGCTGAAACTAGAAAAATGCCCATGGGAGCAAAGAGAAAGAGAGTTAAAATTAGTTAGCACAAAAAAGCCAACTTCATCTGAAAGTACCAGGTTTGCTTAGAACAAGAAAGGAACTGGAGAAGCCCACACACTGAACGCCCATTGATTGCTGTTGCTGACTCCCTGCAACGCTTTCTCCTTAAACCTATTTGAGGAAAACAGTTTGTCCTATTGAGCTCTTCTGAAACAATGAAAAGAATGTTAAGAAAATGAGGACCTTTTTTAAAAAATTCGCTCCGTTGAGAGTATGAGGGGTAGATTGTCTATTAAATGTATCAGCCACAACCATTTGCATTTTCAGCACAAAGAGCATGCTCACAATTCTCTGCTTTTGCTCCAAAGATGTTGTCCCAAAGAAGGGTTCTTTCACCCGGTGTGCAATGAGCCGAAAAACACACAGGGTCGAGATATTTGTTTAATTCATATCTGCGCAGAGATGGGTGCTAGGTGGTACTTCCACAAAGCTAGCACACCCTGGTTACTGCACAGCTTCATACAGTTTGAGCAACAGTTATCAGTACCTTTTACAACTGCATTGTCACCCTCGTTCCCATTGGTTCCTGCTAGGTCTCGTGTTCTTTAAAGTCACAATATCCTCTTTCTCTACTATGCATTACTACGCATGCTCTATGGGGAAGGGGCTTTGGTGGGTAGGGGGCTTTCCTGCTCGTGGGTGGGTTTTTTACTATACTAGTTAGGATAGTTCATCCGTAGTTCAAGTAGTTCTCTTTGGTTTATCAGATGTTTTTGTTCTCTTCGGGCTTATTTGGGTACTTCCTTATCTGGCTGACTTTTGGTGTAATCTTGCTCCTTTCTTCAAGGCCTTGTTTTGTTAACTATCTGTGAAAGACTGAGTAATGCCCTATTCTCCTTTCCCCCCCCATGCCTCCAACAGTTCCCCCCTTTGAGACTTAGATTAATAATTCATTATTTCAAATAAGTCTCATTTAGTGTCTTTTAGTTGGAAATCTCTATCTTTATGAGGCTTTTTAAAAAAATTGCTTGAAAAAACCCGCTCGATGGTTTCTTCCCATTGGCGTATATCCTGTTGGAATTCTTCTCTAATTTTAATAGGGAGGCTTTTAGTTATCGTTATACGTGAGGATCGTGACGTTGCAGCTCGGATGATTATACCCTTGATACATTCAAAGATTATGCAAACTACTATAATTGGTATTGCAAGCATAATCAAGGTTTGAAGTAAACTCTGTAACTGACCTGTTAAAGAGAGTCCCATCCCATGAATATTTTATTTAACCACCTGCTTTCCACACTGCTCCTCAGATCACGGCTAGTTTTTGCCACTTGTTTCATTCGATCAAGTTCTTTATCCAGATTTTTGGTGATGTTAGGGATATGAACACAGCAACTGTCATTTCTGAAGTCTAAATAGCCACAGACTCCGTGTTCATGTAATAAAAGTAAATCTAAGACCAAGTGATTTTGTAAAGCCATCTTGGAGGTGGCCTGTAACTGAGAATTTAGTTCCTCCATCCCAATTCGTGTCCACTTCAGAATATATTTCCCTTCTTTGTTACACCATGTTATGGTACTATTGGGTACATTTTTCCACATATGTTCCCACATTGATGTTAAGTTAGTTGTGAGTATTCCCCAAGGTACTAGTGACTCAGCAGACTTTGGAGTCGGCAAACAAACAGTGATCTGAGTTACATCATGGATTTTCCCAAAAGATTGTATAAGTTGTAAGATCAGATTAGTATTACTAATAGGTGAACATAGTAAGATTAAGAGTGTTCTCATCCATAGTCCTCTAGACATTGTGGTTTAGTTTGAAAAGATCAGTATTCTTATAAACAAATCTTGTGACTATAGGCAGTAATATTGCCAACCCACAACCAGACACTCTAACTCAGTGTATGCACATTCAGAATTCCAAGTGCAATTCATTAACCTGTAGAGTTCTTAGAGAGTCTTAACTTTAGCACTCCCATTTGTGTAGATGTCCATTGTCCTTCTGGAGGAGCTTTATTCACTCTCGTGTAGTGGATCCAGGAGCCGATCCCTTCCACCTTCACCACAGTGTATGTAGTTAGGAGCACAAGATAAGGTCCTTTCCACTTCTCTTTTAATGGTTCATCCTTCCAGGTCCGGATATAAACCAGGTCTCCGGGCTTGAAATTATGTACTGGAGAGTCTAAAGGAAGTAGAGCTCGCTGGTTGAGATACCTGTGTAAAGAGGATAACATCTGTGAAAACGATAGATAGTAAATAGTCTTTCAGGATTTCCTCACCTTTGATATGCATTTGATCACTCTGATTTCCTATCTCATTAACAGGATACGGTTTTCTGTACAATATTTCAAAGTGACTTACCCCTTTCCTTGCCTGTGGAGTGATCCTAATTCTCATCAAAGCAATTGGTAGAATATCTACCCATTTAAGTTGGGTTTCTTGACACAATTTAGAGATTTGTCTTTTAAGGGTTTGATTCATTTTTTCCACCTTTCCACTAGACTGCAGTCTCCAAGGGGTATGCAGGTCCCATTGTATTTGGAGGAATTTAGATACTCCCTGAACTATTTCTGAAACAAAGTGAGGCCCTTTGTCTGAGGATATGCCCTCATGGGATTATTTCCTTCAATAAGATCCTAATTACTTCCCTAGCCCTATTGTTGTGACAGGGGAAAGCCTCAGGCCATCTAGAAAATGTATCCACTAACACAAGTAAATATTTATATTGTCCACATTTTGGCAATTCAGAGAAATCTATTTGCCAGTATTCTCCAGGGGTTATCCCCTTTCTTACTTCACCCATTGGTGGTTTCTTCTGAAATTTAGGATTGTTTGCACAGCAAGTTTGGCTTTTTTTTACTGTTATATCTGCACTTGTTTGCATTTTCGGTCCTATGGTGTATCTCTTGATACTGCTCACCATAGCATCTGATCCCATATGTGTTTCTTCATGCAACTTTTTAAGGAGAACTTCCATTATCCTAGATGTGGTTGACACTTGTTGGTTTGGAGTTACCCACCATCCTTCTTCACTCTTTGTACACCTTAATCTTTCTGCCAATTGATTTTCTTTTCTTAAAATCTCTTGTCCATATTTTATTCTGCTCCCCTGGGAGTTCAACAGAATCTGGCCTGCTGGCATATACCTGTTCAATAGTTGCTAAACAATCATGTTGTAAAGGTTCTTGCTCTGCCATTGGTAACAAAGTGGCAGTGTTAAGAGTTGATACCACGCTTAGGGTAACGTCTTCTTGATCTATCAGTGTGGCTTGGTATTTGGCTAGTCGGTTTGGGGAAATCCAATGGTGTCCCTTTTGATTTAAAATAGCCACCACTGCGTGTGGGACTAATACTGTTATTGGTTGTCCCAAAGTGAGCTTCCGAGCCTCTTGAATTAATAAAGCAGTAGCAGCTACAGCTTGGAGACAGGCCGGCCATCCTTTGCTTACTTCATCCAATTGTTTTGAAAAATAAGCTACTGGCCTTTTCCAGCTTCCAAGCGTCTGAATCATTACCCTAGAAGCTACCTGTTGTTTCTCATGTACATATAACTGGAAAGGTTTTGCTAAATCAGGGAGGCCTAAGGCTGGGGCCTCTATCAATTTCTTTTTAATTTCATCAAAGCTTTTTCAGCGTTCTGGAGTCCATTTCAGCAGCTCCCTTGGGCCCTTGATGGCTGCATATAAGGGTTTGGCTATAAGTCCAAAATTGGGAATCCATATCTGGCAGAACCCGGCCATTCCCAGAAACCCTCTTAGCTGCTTTTGGTTTTTGGTACTGCTATTCAGCATATAGCTTCCTTCCTTTCCCCCACCAGTGCCCATTGTCCTTTTGATATATCAAACCCGAGATACCAGACTTTCTCTCTTGCAATTTGGACCCAGTATCTGGCCAGTCCCAGAAAGTTTAGCAGGCTTATTGTTGCTTCCATACAAGCTTGTTCAGTATCAGCTCCAATTAAGATCTCATCTACATACTGCAAAAGAGTTACACCATCTCTGTCATTTTGCCACTGTTCTAATTCTTTGGCCAATATCTCA